ACTATTCCTTTCTTCTCGTAAATAATTTGTTCTGTTTTATGTATCCGCCAATTCTGTCGATATGTTTTTTTTCCTTCTTACATTTTTTTCTTTTGTTCTTCATCATTTCTTTATATCTTTCTTTCTGATTCAACTCTTTATATATATATATATATATATATATATATATATATATATATATATATATATATATATATATATATTACCTACGTTTAATCTTTTATTTGAAAACCATTCACATTTCAGAGAAACGTCAAGAAAGCAAAACTCGTGACGTCAGAAGCGAACGTGCAAAAAGAAAGCAAAAAATGTCAAAAGAAAAGACGTCTTAAAAAGATACATGAAACAAAATGGCGTCCTTTTGTCTTTCTTTTGTACGTACATTTCTTATACAAGTCTTTTTTTTTTCATTTTATTTTTATGTCATCCATGACTACTTCTCTTGATCGTTATTTTCCTTTACTTGTGAGTATTTTTTTTTAAATTTTTACTCAATTTAATTTCAGTTGTAATTTTATTTATGCTGTTTTCCGTCTCGAAGCCTTGCTACTCTCATTCTTTGTTAACGCATTTTTTTCTATTTTCCTATAAAACTGTTCCGTTGCTCATTAAAAATGGCGTCAGGTCGCGAAAGTAAAAATATCGAAGAGAAGAAGAGAAATTAGTAGTTCAACATTTATCCTTAAGAAATACATTGACTTAACGGTGATATACACTTTTGGTCAGTATATTCTGGGTTACTAATATTAATACCGAAGTAACGTCTCATCGATATTGTACGGTTAGCTCCTCCTAATTTTCGAAACTGCCTCTAGGGGATGCTCTCCGGACTATAAATACTCTACAGTATTTATTCTTTCTATCTTCTTAACCGCTTACACGTCAACATGTAAACCTCTCGCGGAGAACGCGTTCCCTTTGGGAAAAGTATGAAAAATACACACAAACACACACGAAAGCGCGCACACACGCACAAACACACACACACGTACGTACGTACACACATCCACCCAATTTACATACTCTGAATCCAAAAGGTTTTCACATTCATTTGATACACACATACAGCATGTTATACCCAATTTCAGGAACCGACGTTACTAACGCCCGAAACAAATTAGGAAACGCATAACCGACCCGCAAAAACATCTTCATCTTCCTCCGGTCGATGACTGATTGCGTTCATGTTAGATCTGTGGGGTGAACACCTGATCCGCTGGCTCCACAAATTTTGTTAGGTATTCATTAATCTATAGTACGGCTAATGTAATCCTGACCGAGGCCATGCTTATCCAGTTCGGAACATAGCCCATATCCTCCGACTTGAAGGCTGTCAGTGGCGGTGGATGTATAGCCGTTGATGGCATACGCGGAAAAACACCTCTCTGCATAGTTGACTTCTGTCTAGAAATCCATGTGTTAAAAGCGATGTCTTATCATCACCGACCTGCGTATGCTGCCCGTAGATCAGTCTCACGTACAGATTTAAGTCGTTGTTGTTACAGTCTTCCCTGGTATTAAACCCAGAACCACTACACATGGTGTAATACATATCGTTCTCTGCCAGAGTCAATTAACTAATTATTTCAATATATTTTGTGAACACAATGAACTCTCGTTGCCACGTTTGGAATGTCAACGAATACTCGTTGTCACTTTCGTAATGCTCGTTGTAGTAGAGACTTTGTAATCGCAGATACAACTATAGTATGCCGTTGAACAATAATGATTTCAGATGCCTTCAAATAGCACTCACACTAATAGTACTGGCTCGATAACACTCGCTCGGAAGGTAATCCATATAGTGATCTGAACAGAGAAAAGTGTAGAGAAGTGAATAGAGAAAAGCGGTCCGTATAGAATAGAGGATAGAGTAGAAATAGCGATCCGTATAGTACAGAAGATAGACTAGAATGGCGATCATTTAGATTCTAGGGTCACGTGGTCTACTTAATTCCATAATGGGATCGACTGTGTTTTCTCACTGGGGATCTATGTTCAAACTCAAGTGTCGGCAGCGACACTTTATTCCTATATAACAATATGGTAAAAGACGTAATGCAGTCTTCCTACTAATTTATTTAGATTTCTCTCACACCTACCTATACACAGAATCTATCTATCTCTTTGCGGAGAAAGGAAGATTTGAAATTTTCGATTTTGAGAACTTTATTTACAAACTTCATCCACCTTTAAACGCATCAAATTTCAGTCATTTATGTTTTCTAGTCAGGCGTATCGATCTACGAGAGGTGTTTACGCCAAGGTCGACCTCTTGCAGATCGATGACAGGAGGGTGTTTCCAGCCAACCCCATCTCTACTTGCTTAGCGGAATTGACCGTCCTCACTACCAAAGAAGGAAAGTTCAATCGCAACTCGAGCAGTTGAAGCGGGAAATTGACACTCACCGCCCATTCCTCAACTGTGAACTAATGCAAAGATGTTCAAGATACGGCTTTTTACACTCAGTCGAACCATTGAAAGGCAGAAACGCTATTGTCCTTGTGGTGCGGCTACCTTAACACCTTTCAACACAGGCTCTCTCTCTCTCTCTCTGTCCTCTCTCTATCTCTTTCTATCTCTCCATCTCTCTCTCTCTCTCTCTCTCTGTCCAACTCTCTCTATCTCTTTCTATCTCTCTCTCTCTCTCTCTCTCTCTCTCTCTCTCTCTCTCAGCCCTACGGAACTCTTCCTCAATGTCTCCAGTAATACCTGGCTCATTTGGTCCTGCCTAAATCGAACAGCTGTTGGTCGATGTAAAGCCAACCTTTATAAATGAAGATATACTACCAATGCTGAATACTATTGCCAATTGAGCAATTTCATATTATAGAATATCTTCTAGTTTGGCACAATCTCGAAGATCCATGCACATATAACAACCTTTGAAACTTTAACACCCCAGACAAGGCCCTGTGTGCGCAATACTGAATGGATATGGTGTAGCGACACGATAAGAAGAAGATAGGCATATCACTTCACACACACACACACACACACACACACACACACATATATATATATATATATATATATATATATATATATATATATATATATACTGGTGTAACATCAAATTTGTTCAAATTGTATTGCAGCAAAATTGTCTATTTGTTGGATTACGATTTAAACCGTTGTATTTTAGAAATGATTAAATATATCTTAGTGGAATTCACCGAGGTTTTTATAACACTGTTGGACGGTACTTTGAGAAATAATTATGCATAATTACTCTCCAAGTTTAACAGAACAATCGTGATGAAATCGCTAATAAACGAACATGACATGTTCATCATTGATGAATCATAGCTAAGGAGCGGAAGCTCATGAAGGATTGATATATATATATATATATATATATATATATATATATATATATATATATATATATATATATATATATATAATGTATGATTCTTTCGCTACATAAGAGTTCTCATGTTTCAAAAACGAGAGCTGAAGCACTCAATATGATTATTAGAATTACATTGAATTAAAGTAACAAGCCCTGTTTCATCCTCAAGCGAAAATAATTATATTGAGGGTTTCGGCTCTCGTTTTTGAAACATGAGAACACTTATGCAGCGAAGAAATCATATTTTTGAAAAAAAAAATTATAATTTAAGCTCTACTTCTGTATGGAGCACGGTTTTTTTAAAATAAAAACAAAAATACGAAAGAACACCGGATTATATACCTAAAGTGTCCTTTCCTATTTTTCTACATACCAGCACACACACACAAAATATATATATATATATATATATATATATATATATATATATAACCTTCTAATTTTCTGCCTTGGAGTAACCAGGTATTGAACTCACACTCTTTGGGTTCTGTCACTGGATCTAACTTACGCCTTTATCTGCTGTGCCAAGTGTCCTTGGAGAGGGGAATTAACAGGCGATAACTGAAAAATGATATACATTAGACATGGCACGTGGAACTAGAACAGTCTACCCCAGCAAACAAAAAAAAAAAGGAAGAAGGCCGGAGAGTATAACAGCTGAAACGTTGTGATAAATATGGCAACAAGGATGAGGACGATAGTCCGATCAATGTGAGTAGTGAAGTGTTTATTTTGTCTGCCGTCCCGCGCACTTGAGAAAAATGAATCGGAAAACTTTCGTCTTCCATCACCTCACTTCTCTTTACAGTCTTTCTGAAACCTAGGACAGCTTGATTGGGGTTCTCTACGACACTCGACTATCTCACCTGTGCTTGTATTTTCTGGTCACCTGTTATTTCGCTTCGTACAATATTATCTTAACGAAAAGACCTCCATTTCTCTGGAGGCCAGTAAAAAGTCATTTAGACCAGTTCATTAATCGGGAATTCTTGAAGGATAAACTCACGAAGCTTCTCCAAGGATTGCGATAGTTAGCGAAACAAAATGACTCATATATTATCGAATAAATCGATGTATAAATACGTAAATATTGTCTTTGACGTTCACATAAAGAACGCTAAAAACTTTTTGTCCTGATACAATATATATTATATTTTTAGAGTTCTTGTCTACTTCACTACGTTGCTTTTATGATAGATTAGACTAGGTTGAAAGTTGTAAGAAAACACGCTAGTATAAGAGGTTAAATCAACATATATATTACATATGACTTTTAAATATATATATATATATATATATATATATATATATATATATATATATATATATATATATATATATATATATAAAATAGTCATCTGTACTAAATCATAGAGACCTTATCTAATATCTAAACCGAATGCACTATGGACGAGTGACCGAACATTTTATGTTTATTTATTTATTTATTTTTTTTTTGGAGAATTGAGGGAACTTGTCAGCTAAGGTTGTCTTACCGTTTCAACAGAACATATAAATCATCAAGCTTTATTTTGGCAACACTGCCAATTCTAAAATATGTTAGAACGCCACCAGTTTTTATTCCTCTGAGATTACGACGAAGAAAGGAAAATTGATATTACTGTCTCTTCTCTCCATTTTCTCTCAAGAATATTCTTCTTTCAGTATCTTTACGTTGCGGTGGGATTCTAGAAAGAAAGAAAGAAAGAAAAAAAGAAAGAAAGAAAGAAACAAACAAACAAAGAAAGAAAGAACATTAATGAATCTCAAAATGAGAGTAAACAAAGAGGCAGACTAACGTTAGTAAAACAAAGAAAGAAAAATATGACAAAGCTGAAAAAAGAAAGATAAAAGAAAAAAGAAAAAGAAATGTATGAAAGGAAAGAAAAATGAAAGAGAAAATAAAGAAAAAAATATTAAAAAATATATAATGAAGCTGAAAAAGCGTGGATAGAAAGAAGAAGAATAAATCTATTCAAAGAAAGAATTTAAGCAAGCAAGAAAGAAAGAACAAATTTTGGAACTCAAAGAAGAGACGAAGAGTAAATAAATAATGAATGCAAATTTGAAAAGAAAAAAGAAAGAAATCATGGAACTTAAAAAAGAAAGAAAGAAAGGATTAATGATGAATATTAAAACCAAAGAAAGTGAAGATTGCTATGCTATTTTTTCTTTTTTCTTTCTTTCTTATAAACAAGAAAGAAAAAAAAAGAAAGAAAATAATGTAACTACATAAATTAAAAAAAGAAAGTGACTATGGCTATGCAAATTAAATAAGAAAGAAAGAAAAAAGCAACAATGGAAATGCAGAATAAATGAGAATGAAAGAAAAAATGACAGCAGAAATGATGCAACGACAAAAGTTAAGAAAAAGAAAAAGTAACGATGTCTATGCAAAATAAATAAGAAGGGAAGAAAGAAAGAATTGCGTGACGATGGAAATGCCAATTAAATAAGAGAGAAAAAAACAAGAAAGAAAATGATGGACCTACTAGAGGAACAAAAATAAAGAAAGCTGAATACTTAAAAAAGAAGATGACTAGGCGAAGTAAACGAGAAAGAAAAAAAGAAAGAAAAAAGAAAGAAAGAAATAAGAAAGAAAGAAAACGCAAAAGTATCAGAAAAATTTAAAAAAGAAAGTGACGATGACTATGCAAAATAAATAAGAAAGAAAAGAAAGACAGAAATAAAATGGTGAAACTACAATAATTAAAAAAAGAAAGTGAAGTCTATGCAAAATATTTAAGAAAGAATGTAAAAAGTTAAGATAGACAGGCCAAATAAATAAGAAAGAAAGCGAAAATGGAAATGCCAAATAAACAAGAAAAGAGAAAGAAAAAAACAAAGCTAGCAGAACTGATGGAAGTGAAAAAAAAAAGAGAGGGACGGTGGCTATGCAAAATAAATAAGAAAGAACGAAAGAAAGAAAGAACGAACGAACAAACGAAAGAAAGAAAGAAAGAAAGAAAGAACGAACGAACGAACGAAAGAAAGAACGAAAGAAATAAATAAGCAAATAAAGAAAGAAAGAAACAAACAAACAAACAAACAAACAAAATGACGGAAAAAAGAGAGAGAAAACGAAAAAAAATGGTGGAGCAGCGAAAATTAAAAAGAAGAAAGCAAGCAAACAAGAATGGTTTATATGTTGGAACAAAAATCTGAAGAAGACAACTAAGAAAAACAAATAAATTAAAATATAGAAAAAGATGAATAAAATCTACGACGCAGATTTATTTTTCTTTTATGACTGTTTTGCATCTTTCTTGCTTTCAGTCGTTTTTTTTCTTACAGCATTTTTTACACTTCAAACGGATTATTTATTTGCCACACACACACACACACACACACACACACACACACACACACACACACACACACACACACACACACCCACCTCTACCTACCTACCTTCACACGCGCACATATTTGTATGAGCTTTTATATAAGTTTTTGTGCACATATTTATATATGCGTGTGGGGGGGGGGACACGTGGCCGAGTGGATAAACGTTCGCATTCTGAACATGAGACCCGGGTTCGGATCTCACCATGGTCAGTTTGTAAGAAAGGAAACTTTCTGATGTTATCTGTCTGGAGGGGTCGATCGCACATCTGGACAGTGCCTAGAAACCATACCACGGGTTGAGCCAAGCCATGTGAGTGAAATTGGGTAGACGTAAGGAAGCCTCAAGACACCGTGGCCGAGGGTTTGAGCGTGCTGGTCTTGTTCAAATTGTTGATCACGCAACATCAGAAACTGTAACTAAGATCTGCTCAGCATAGTTGCAGTACAAACCACTGGGAAGCTCTGGGGGCGTTGAATAAACACAAATGTGCCTGAGCAAGGGTCTGCAATAGGGATTGGATTGGCTAGCAGCCCTTGTAGACGCGTATCCTCGAAAAAAATTGGCCAGCTACACATCTATCTATCTATCTATATGTGTGTGTTGTCTTTATATGTATATATAAGTGCGTGTGTGCTTATATATATGTATATAGAAGTGCGTGTGTGCGAGTCTGTGTGGTATATATATGTATGTGGGTGCGTGTAATATATATGTGTCTGAATATATATATATATGCACATATATATATATATATACATATCACGCGCACACACACATATATACGCACTTATCTACAAACACACACATACATATATATATGTGTCTGAATATATATATATATATAGATATATATGTATGTGTGTTTTATGTGTCTATATATATGCGCGTGTGTATGTACATATCCATGTGTATATATATATATATATATATGTATGTGTGTGTTTGTAGATAAGTGCGTATATATGTGTGTGTGCGCGTGATATATATATATATATATATGCGTGTGCATATATATCTGAATGTGTGTATACATATATATGCATGTTCATACATCTATATGTGTGTCTTTATATATATATATATACATATATATGTTTTTGCATGTGCTTATATATGTGAGTGTATATATATATATATATATATATATATATGTATGTGTGTGTGTATGCATATATATATATATATATATATATTTATGTATGTGTATGTAAATGTTATGTGTGTGTGTATATATGGGTATATGTATGTACGTGTCTATATATATGTGCGTATATATATATATATATATATATAATCAATGATATATCCTTTAGCTGTGGGAAGTCTACTAATGCACCTTATTTTCTTTACCACGCCTCAAAACATATGTCATAACAAAAAGAAATATGTCTGCTTCAATTCGACAGCGGAATTCGTAAATATCCTTGACAAATAATTAAGATTTTTGTCGAAATCATTCATTAACCATGCAACGCTTTATAATCAAACGACACCCTTTGAATGGAGAACTGAAAATGCGTGAAAAATACTCCACTGATCTGCCAGAAGGATGCACATATTCGTGAAAATTGTTAACATGAAGACTTTCGCATACTATCTATTCTATGTTCATGTTGTATAAAAAAAAAAACTCTGACCTAGCAAAATAAACAATAATATCCAGACAAAATAAAATCGAGGAAGATTTTAGTAAGTGAGAAATTAGTGTGACAATTAGGAACTATGAAATGGAGAAATGAAATGATCAGTCAACTAGGTGCAAGAGGGATTTATAAATATATTTGCGATCTTGATGGGGTTATACTGACAGTATGGATATCAACAGACAAGAAACGAATGTCTGAAGCCAGAGGGATATTAATTTTTATTGGCTATTATAAGGATAAAAGAAAAGAGACAGTTGAAAATAGCAGTGGATTCGTGATTTTATAACGTACGCGAAGGACATCCGTATTTATACTATACACACACACACACAAAAACATGCACATACAAACACACACACACACACACACACACACACACACATATATATATATATATATATAATAGCTGTCGACTCGTATTCGAGGATACCCGTCTACTAGCCAATCCCTATTGCAGACGCTCGCTCAGGCACATTTGTGTTTGCTCAACCCCCACAGAGCCCACATGTGGTTTATACTGCAACTATGCCGAGCAGACCTTAGTTACAGTTTCTGGGAGAGAGCGTGTTATCTAGTGTGACCAATAATGTGAACAAGTCCAGCACGCTCTGAGCCCTCGTTCAAGATAACTTTGTGCTAGCACAGTTATTAGCGACACTCAAGTGTTCCGTATATATATATATATATATATATATATATATATATATATATATATATATATATATTATTTATATATCTAAATATGTCTGCCTGTTTGTGTATTTTAACCTGACTGTGTATGTTCTGTCTTTTGCAAGATTTCATCCTTCCTTGACCATGTCTTCACCTCAAATGTATCTAAGTTGTAGATCTTAACGTTTATTCCAACTTAATTTCAATAAAAACAACATAAATAGAAAAACGTATGTACTTTTTCCCTAAGTTTCTTCTTTAAATACTTTTATAATTTTAAACTTAATATAAATTAAATTGAAAATTATAAATTGGTAATTTTTAATTCTATAGTATAATTTAATATTTATTAGTTAGAATGAATTCTATTTTAGTCTAACCCTAACATTAAAGCATTAAATAATTATTATAACCAAAGTTCGTTGTCAAGTTTTTTGAATAGTGATTTTATATCATATTTATGTTATAAATTTCGAATGGATAATTATATATAATATATATATATATATATATATATATATATATATATATATATATAATATTAGTGGATACACGCCTATGTGTAAGTATATACAAATATATATGTTATTGTGTGTATTCGCATGTGTTTTTGAACATAAAATATAGGTCCATACTGGATTAGATAATCGTTATATTTATCTTTATATATTTATATTTGATTTGTAACCTGTAGTCGATATTACATTTGTCAAATTTTCTCAATTACAAAGCGGCCCTTTAAGTAAACGCAATTTTACTTTCCTTCGTCCCATCTCTCTCGCCCACCTCGTCTTTCCCTCCCTCTTATTCCAACATTAGATTGTCTATGGTGTGTCTATGTCACCACGAAATGTATCTTTATGCATTAGACATCCGTCACCATTCATTCTTTTCTCTTAATTAAACCCCTTCTACCCATCTCTCCTAAAATTCTCTCTGTTAAGGTTTAATCTCCCCCCCTCATACATACACTCTCTCTAAATTCTGTTTTTATTTCCGGAGTTGGTCTGACGAATTGGATCGTATTTACGATTCCAATGGAATAAATTATGACCATGGAATATTAGTGTTTAAGCCTTTTTACTATATATATATATATATATATATATATATATATATATATATAAGCAAATATATGGATATAGATCCGACAGTATGAAAAAAATATATACGGAAAAAACAAACAAAAATCCTATTATACAATTTATACTGTTTTAATGTTAATATGTCAACGTCGGACGTTTCGGTCTAATAAACCATCTTCAGGACATATTTATAAATTATAACATTATCAATGCAACATGACAAAGATCTGAAAATTTGGTATCCGTCTATATTTCTGAGATGAGGTATTATGTACATTATTTACATTATTCGGACTATTATCCTCATCTTTGTGGCCATATTTATTCCAATGTTTCGGCCGATGTACGCTCCGGCCTTCTTCAGTTGGTTGGAATGTTGAACTGAACCCTTTATTTCGCTCACTGGGGTAGACTGTTCTAGTTCCACGTGTCATGTTTAATGGATGTCAGTTATCAGTTATCTGTTAATTTCCCTCTGAAAGTTCTGCGCTGCCGTAATAAATATGGCGACAAAGATGATGACAATAGTCCGAATAATGTAAATAACGCACATAATTCCTAATCTCAGAAATATAGACAGATATGGGGACTAGTTAGGATTTTCATAGAGACAATGAGGTATTATGGTGAATGTAGTAAGAAAGATAAGAATGTAGTGTTTTGGTGTTAGGAATATTGTGGTCAGTATTTGTGGCTATCTAAGATAAGGTAGAAGACCGTCCTTTTTCTTATTCGCCATGTTTGGCCTTTTGCCACATTTTCTGTATTGAAGCGGATATAAACATCGATTTTATTCCTGGTGTCCCATCTACATAAATTTAAATGTTACTACACTGGCATCTAGATCCCACGCTTTTACCGTTGAAATAGCTAAATTCAACCGACACTTCTCACTCAAAGAGCTTCTTTTCTCGCACTTGCCGCCTATGCAATTTCCTTCCATTTACTTGCTTCGCTGATAACTACAATCTTCAAAAATTTAAATGCAACATCAATTGCCATTTTCTGAAAACTTGAATGCCGTTCATCTTTTATCCTTTCCTCATTTTCTCTAGACCTTCAATCTCTGTAAACTCCTGCGAACCAGTGGCACTTCCACCTTACAAAAAGAAAAAAAAAACGTATAAGATGGATTCTAACGAGAGAAATTGTTTTGAGTTTTGAGCTTATTTTGTTTTACGGCATATGAACCTCAATGGGTTAATTAATACGGACAATATTTTTTAGAATAGATTCGTTTGTTTGTTTAGCGGCATTTCAACTCCTTAATGACGAAAATTAATTTTGTGGGGAGCATTAATAATTACTTTTACAAAAAGGTATTGCTGGTAATACATCTTTTTTTCAGAAACGTATTACTGGTACTTTTACTATAAAAAAAATCTATTTTATACTCTTTTAGAGTGTTGACCCCAGTTTGGATGTTAACTACTTGCCCATAGCTAGGATCCTAACAGATGCTACCACTCCGGGTTAGGGATGACCTGGCAACAACATCAATTAAGATGTGATTCGACGCTCATCAAAACCTTCCGGCGCCGCCAG